TGTGAGAGTGAAATATCAATTATTTGCCTCCTGCACTTGCCTGACCAGGAATAGAACCCACAGCTTTTCAGCGTATGGGCTGACGCTCCTCCTGACTGAGCCACACCAGCCAGAGCGATGTTGCATTTCCAAATTTATATAATTCAAAAAGGTAATATTGTGGGAGAATATTTTTACTTTCCAATTTAAAATAAAAATATGTCGGGGGGTAGTTGGGGGATAAGGACACATATGTAATACCTTTGAAAGGACAGAACACCTTCATCAATAAAGAAATTTAAAAAGATAAAAAAATAAAAATAAGTCTTTTGTCAGAAATCATTGGTTTGATTAGTAGAAGACAGTGATCACTGGGGTGGCCAGAAGCTTAGAGCTATTTTTTTTGAAATATATATCTTCCTGGTTATAAAAGTGAAATATATTCTTGTTGGAGAAGCACACCAGCAAATAGACAAAAATAATAATCATTTCCAGTCTCACCCCTCAAAGAAAACCAATGTGAACATTTATTTTGCATTCTTCCAGTGTATTTTCAGAGTTAAATTTAATATTTAATTGCAATTATCATCTTATCCCAGCTTCTGGATCATTTACTCCCTTCTACCTGTATAGAGGCTTTCATCTTTATTTTGAACTTCGATGTTAACTGTATTATTACTTGTGTGCCTATTTTATCGCAAGCTTTTTTAAAAAATATTTTTTTATTGATTTCCAAGAGGAAGGGAAAGGGAGAGAGAGAAAGAAACATTAATGATGAGAGAAAAATCACTAATCGGCTGCCTCCTGCATGTCCCACTGGGGATCGAGCCTGCAACACCGGGCATGTGCCCAGACGGGAATTGAACTGTGACCTCTTGGTTTATAGGTCGACACTCAACCATTGAGCCACGCTGGCTGGGCCATTACAAGCTTTCATGGGAAACTCAAGAAGTTAAAATTTTTGTAGCTTTAGCTATACGGTTAATAGGCTTGGTAGCTAATGCATGTAAAAGCTATTGGTCCAGGGACTGGAGGGTATGACTGGATCTGTCCTGACTTCAGAAGACTTGCAAGCAATTCGACCTTTGTGCTCCAGGAGGACCACGAGTGGCCAAGGCAGTACCTGGACCATTGTGCTCCAGGGAGAGAGTGTTCACCACCCAGGATGCAGATGAAGAATCACCAGTCAGCAGATGAAGGGATGCTCAGAAAGTCACCAGGCTGCACCTTTTATCTGATTAACCTACTTTCTCCTGAGTTCCAAACCCTTTACCTACACTTCTCTTATCCTTATAAGAAGGGTTGGCTTGAGATGAGATGTAAGATGACCACCTTTTAAGGCACATAACCTGCCTTGTTCTCAGCCCACCAGTCCTCTGAATAAAGTGTCCACTCAGATTCAATCCTTGTCTCTACTTAGTGGTCCTGGTGGTGATGGGTAGCACCAACGTCAACTTTTCCAGTTTCAGCTTCTTCAGTACAACATCAAAGAAATAAATATATAAACTGAGGCGGGATATCTCATGGCTTAGAAACATAGCAAAATTGGAACCAGAGAGAAGGAAATAGTCCTTAGACCAGGGGTCCTCAAACTTTTTAAACAGGGGGCCAGTTCACTGTCCCTCAGACCGTTGGAGGGCCGGACTATAGTTTAAAAAAAAAACTGTGAACAAATTCCTATGCACACTGCACATATCTTACTTTGAAGTAAAAAACCAAAACGGGAACAAATACAATATTTGTATTTGCATGTGGCCCGCGGGCCGTAGTTTGAGGACCCCAGCCTTAGACTGATAAGCAGGGCAGAATTTTGGCTCTGAGTCGGGCTAGATATGGCTGAGCAGAACAAAAACAAAGGAGCAGAAAGAGAGTAGGAGGTGAAGAGGGGCCCCGCTACTCAGACCAGCAAATTGAGAAATACAATTATTTTGATCACCTGTCTGACTTCTTTGATGTATCCCAGCCCATCTTCTTTCTTTTTCTTTCCAGCCCATTTTCTTTTGAAACCCAAGGCAGAAGCAAATTGATTTGCATAATGGCTCTCAGGGGAAGAGTCTAGGTGACTGTGGTCTTTTTCTGACAGCCAAAGGTAAGGCAGAAATCAGACTGGCTTCCTGAAGTCCTTAGGTGCCCAAGGCTAACCGCAGCTCATCCCACGCCATCTCGGCTTAGCAGCATCAACATAAAAGGACTGTGGATTGTATTTTGAGCCCGGGGACTTACCCAGCACATACATATTGTGTACAGTATGGAAATCTCCCCACCCTCACATCCTGCCTAGCTCACAGTGCCCTCTCAGGAGGCATATTCATTGAAAAGGCTATTTATAGCTGTCTGCTTGCCTTGTTTTTCAAAATAATAGTTGGGGAACAGAAGGGATGGACTTGGAACCTCTTCCCGCAATAAATAGGTAGACTTGGACCATCTATAATCTTGCACATCTACACATATTTAGTACATCTTATCCAGTGTTTTGTGTTTTCACTCTTTACATCTCTTCTATCTTAAGCCAATTTAAAATGCACAGAAAACTATCCTCAGAATGGTGGGTTTGGCAGTTTTTCTTCTTACGAAAACAATTATTGGTAATAAATGTTATTAGGCCCACCGTTCATTCAACTTATTCTGTATTCCTCTAGCATGTATTTCACTTCCTTCCTGTTTTGTCCTGTTTCTTCACTGTGTTCTCCTACTGGATTGTAAGCTTTTTGGATTGAGGGTCATGACTTATACGTGCTTCACTTTATTCCTCCATAGGAAAAAATGACCCAAAACGTATAAATTAAAAAATTGTAAGGCAGGCAACATGTATGTCCAATGTCATATTAAAGCTTGTTTAATATGCCTGCCCAAGGATTATTTAATTATACAGGAGAGGAAAGTAAGACAATGAGATTGGATCAATAAATTAAGAGTGAAGTATTCTTATCTATTATTTCTAACAGCTTTGTTGAGATACATTTCACATACCATAAACTTTATCCATTAGAACTGTGCAGGCCCGTGGATTTTAGTATGTTCACAGAGTTGTGTACCTATCACAATGTAATTTTAGAACATTTTCAGCACCCCAAGAAAGCTAATATTGACCCAAGGCTCAGACTCTGTGAACGTAACTTAGAGACTTTTGTTTAGCAGAAAAGATAACCCCAAAGGTTATCCTTTTATTGCGTTGTAGACATTTAACCATTTAAAAAAAAAATCTAGCCTGGCAATGTTAGGTCACCATTCTTTCTCCAATGCCAATGCATATTCCTAATTCCCTTTTGAACCATCGTTACCATCCTGCTGGTTCCCTTATTGATGAATTAATTAAATGTTTGACATGTTTCATTCTGTATTTGTATAAGAGTCATGTTTACAAATATTTGAAACTTATGTTTGACAACCTGAATACTCTCAGCACAGTGACGGGCACATAGTAGGCAATCAATAAATACATCTTGATAAATTAACCTCCATTTTTTTGGTAAGGATGTGTTAGAGTTTTAAACTTTGGAAGAAGGGAATAAATTTTTGAAAGGTCTTAAAGAAAAAAAATTAATATAATATAGAAATCCCTCACTTCTTATTTTAAACCTAATAGTATTAACTTTGAGTGATTATCTCCTTACAATAGAATATAAGCACTTTGTTCTTTTTTTGGAAAAGTCATTAAACATCTTCAGAAAACGCATTTTAGTGCTTTAGAGGTAGAGACTGTCTTTGCATTTCCATTTTCTGACCTGTCCTGAAAATAGTACTCGCTCAGTACATTTTGTTGAATAAACAAATGAAAGAATGAATCTCAATGGGCACAAGCAAGTTCATATGTTTTGAAAAATTGCAACATGCCAGGTACTGCAATAGGCTCGAGGGATATAAAAAGAACATTTGAGGGCTGAAGTTTATTTCAAGACCTTTACAGAGCAATCACTGGGTTTGGGGGATGTATTTCATCTCAGAAGTAGTTTCCAACTGAAGGAGGGGAAATTTGGATTTATGACCCTGTACAAAGAAATACATCTTTGCCATAATTTCTCTGAAGAGCTTTTCAAAGAAACCAAACATCAGTGGTTTATCAGGTAGACATCAAGAGTGAAACAACAGGCATACCAGTGTGGGAAATCTTATGGTGATTCAAGAGCTCTTTGAATTCCTGTGGTTCCCAGTAAGTCCCCACGCATATGGCTAACTGCAAACAGTTCTATATTTAGAGAAAAGTGAGACTCTAATGGTGAGCCATGCAGCTGGAGGCAGAGAAAAATCCCTGATCTGAGTCCCCAGACCTCAGGTAGAATCCAGTTCTGCATTCTGATGCTGTGCAGGACAATTCTGAGCCTCAATCCCTAACCATAAAATTATGGTTTTGAAAATTAGCCTCCTTCAAATGAGGAAATGGGGGAGGAAGTCCCACACCCTGGGAACCACTGTATGAATGGGACTCTAGTTCTGATCGGTAGCAGAAGCCCCTTTGGAGTGTTCATTCAACAACTTCCCTGGACTCCTGAGTGCCTGCCTGCATTGTGCTACTCACTGGGCACGCGGAGAACAACATTGCCAGCACACAACCCACTTCCAGGCATTTATCCCCAGGCAGTTTTTCAGCAAAAGCAACAATATATTTGAAGGAAGATAATCATTGCAGGGATATCTGTAACAACAACAATAAAACTGGAAACAACCTGGATGTTTACCAAAGCAGGATGGTTTCATCAATGACACATCCCGGCATCTTGATTAGAAAGAACACCCAGCCTACCTCCACCCACACCCTGGCAGGGTCAGCCTGTCACCCTTGGAAGTGTTGGTTTGTGTTTTGTTTTGTTTTGGGCGGGGAGGGCTGGTGACCTTGTCGCAAGGGGGTGGCTGGTTGAAGGCTGGACAAAGGGGTGTGTAATAGTGACAGGTCACAAAGGACTGTCAGGGTCAATGCAGTGGTGTGAGGAGCTGTAGGCAGAACCCTGCAGGGAGATGGGCAGTGGACTTCACTCCCTCTCTCTCGGAGACTCGATTTATGGCTGTCTTACATTCAGAGAACCATGAGCAGCGAGTGCTTGTTACCTTACTACACCGCCCACAGCTACCGTTCCCAGGGCGTGTTCAATACCTGCATGGGGGACCTGCAACGACAACTGTACAAGGGAGGGGAGTATGATATTTTCAAGTACGCACCGATGTTTGAGAGCGACTTTATCCAGATTAGCAAAAAGGGAGAGATGATTGACGTACACAACCGCGTCCGAATGGTGACTGTGGGCATCGCATCCACCAGCCCCATCCTCCCGCTGCCTGACGTCATGCTGCTAGCCCGACCAACTAAAGTCTGCGAAGAGCATACCAGACGCCCCCGGCCCGCCAAGGGGAGAGGCCGCAAGCCCCCGAAGACCCTAGAGCTCACCAGGCTCCTGCCCTTGAAGTTTGTCAAGATCTCCATTCACGATCGTGAGAAGCAGCAGTTGCGCCTGAAGCTTGCCACTGGTCGTACTTTCTATCTGCAGCTGTGTCCCTCCGCAGACGCACGGGAAGACCTATTTTGCTACTGGGAAAAGCTTGTCTATCTCCTGAGACCACCAGTGGAGAGTTGCAGCAGTGCTCGGGTACCACAAAGCGGGGATGCAGCAACCATAGAGGATGACAGCAGCCTATTGGTAAGCCTATTGGTAAGACTCAAGATCATGGGCCCGGGTGCTTTGGGGGAGCAGCTCAAAACTGGTCCTACAAAGTCGCTGATGCTCTCTGAAGCTCACTAGGGAAGTGCATTCCATTTTCAGAAGGTTCAGGGCCACCACAATGGCACTAGCCACACTGAGGAGATTCCACGCGCTTCTCCACATTGTCCCACAAAGCCGAAGTTCAGCGAGACCTTAGGCGTCAGCTGCTCGGGTCTCAGCCGCAGGGTTGTAATGCCTTCTATAGCATCCTGACTGTGCTATCCCTTTCTGAACACTTCCCCCGACCCAGATGGTCTCTTCCTTCCTCTGTCCCCTGTGACTGCCATTGCTGATTGTCCCCTGTGACTGCCATTGCTGATTAAAATCAGCGCAATTCAGCTTGGGTGTCTGCACATGTACTATTTCTTTTAGCAGCCACTGAAATGTGAAATGTGACAACCTTGACCCAGCAATCCCATTTGTAAGATGTCTGCAGAGAAATAAGCACAAGTGTGCAAAAAACAAACAAACAAACAAAAAACCCCACTGCATGAGGATTGGGAATTGCATCAGCGCTTTCCTTGGCATGGGGACTGTTCACGCAAAACCACGTGACTGTTTGACAGGGATGCTGTGAATGGGACGTTGCCTCCCAGGGGAGCTTAGACTTAAGGATCTTAAAGGTGCTTCTACTTAGAAGCCCTGGAGATGCTCAGCTCCAAGATGAGAGCGAGCAGACTGTCGTGGTCTCACCTTGTCATCTCTGTCTCACCCGTTTCTCCTCCCCTTGGCACAGACCGCAGAGTTCCGTGGAGATGGAGATCAGAAGGAGGCGAGGTTTTGCAATCTTTGTGATGTGTCCAGAGCCACTTCTTCTGGTTATGCTGGGGGAGAGGGAATGCCCACTGCAACTCACATCAAGAAAACTCCAGGGACCGCCGAAGGAGCGGCCAAGGGGGCAACCGCAGGCCTGGCAGTAGCAGGAACAAGCCCTAGAGCAAGCGTGGCAGCAGCGGGAGTGACAACAAGCCCTGCAGCCAACAGGGCAGCAGCAGGAGCGGGGACAAATCCTACAGCAAGCATGGCGGCAGCAGGAGTGACAACAGGTCCAAAAGCCAACGTGGCGGCAGCAGGAGCGGGAGCAAGTCCTACAGCAAGCATGGCGGCAGCAGGAGTGAGAACAGGACCTAAAGCCAACGTGGCGGCAGCAGGAGCGGGAGCAAGTCCTACAGCAGGTGCTTTGAGCATAGCAGCAACCAAGGATGGGGGCACAGGCCAGATAGGCGTAGCCATGGCCGGAGCCACCGCCAAGGGTCCAGGAGAAAGTGGATCCAGCAAGGCCGCGGCAGGTGCTGCCAACATATCCTCAGAGGGCACGAATGTGGTCTTGGTGAGTGCTGGCAGCTCGTCCTCATTAAACACTTCCATGGCAATGGCAGGGACTACTAATATCTCCCGGGATAGCAGCACCAGCATCACGTGTACAGTGACAACCACAAATCCTGCCGTAGAAAGAGCTGAAGACCACGTCTCCACCTTGAAGAGTGAGCGGGAAGGGAACCAGAAGGTCTCCCCACCCAGAGCCGAATCTCCGAGGGGAAAAAAAGGAAAGAGAGAAAAGAAGGACATAGCTTCCACAAGGAAAAGTTCCCATCACCGCAGGACAGGAGTGAGCAAGCCGCTCCGGAAATCATCCTCCCACCGGTCATCATCGGGCCATAAAAACGCAAGAGACGACAAAAAAGAAAAAGGGGCGAGCAACGTCAAGGGCAGAAAGCACAGCTCTCACAAGAGTTCCAGCCACAGCGCCGCTGGGAAGGAGTCGAGGACAGCTCACAAACTGGGGAAGAGCAGATCTGCCAGCTCGGGTAATTTAAGTAAGAAGTCCAGTAGGATTGGCTCTTTCTTCAGGAGCTTCAGAGTCACTCGTGGTTCAAAAACTGAGGTCACATCACACGACAGGGAGATGGACTTCAAGGCTAAGAAGGTGGGGAAGCGCAACATAGAGGCGACGGTAGAGAAAGCCCCGGGTGGCCAGGACCTGGAGGTCACTGGCATCGTGACATCGGAGATGATGGAGACGATCTACATTGAAACCAAATCCAATTAAATAGGAGCCAGGGCAGGAAGCTGCAGTGGAGACCTAGCCTCATGAAAGTATCCCTAGAGAGACAATGCCAGTGTTCTTGAATAAAGGAAACAATACACCTCCAAGAGAAATGCTGCTTTTGTTTGGCTTTCAATGTCCTCTCTCCTGGTAGTGACTTCACAGTGGCGTCTGTGATGTAAACTGTGCTAAAGCCTGAGACTCCAGTCTCCAGTCAGGCAGATCCCCACCTCCCACCCAAGTCCAATATGAGTGTCCTGTCTTGCCTCAACCCCCTTCTGTCTTTTGGTCTCCCCAAGACTATGGCCACAAGTGACAGGTTATGGGCTGGGAAGGACCACCACCACCAAGTCCCCAGGCCCTTCCTCCTCCTCTTCTTCCAGAAGGTCCCCGAACATGTACCTTTAGTCCAGCCCATAGATTCAGTGAAGACAGGACTCATGTCTCCTCAGGAAATCAATAGGGGAGGGGAAAAGGGATGTAGGCAATCACAATAGTAAAGTTTATCATCCAAGTCAGGAATCAGTAGCCTGAGGGCCAAATCTTGCTAAGTGCCCAGTTTTGTTAATAAAGTTTTATCAGAACACAGTCACAGTCACTCATATATTGTTTATGGCTGTTTTCACATTGAAACAACAGATCTGGGTTGGTGCAACAGAGACTGTATTGTGTGCAAAGTCTAATATATGTACTATCTAGCACTTTCCAGAAAAGGCTTTCCCACCATGGATCTAATCTTAACAATTCTCCTTTCTCTTGAGTATATACTGTGGAGAAACTCTCACTTAGGCTTGCAAAGAAGATTTTTTAATATATTAAAAAATTTTATAATAGCAAAACCCCAAATGTTTATCAAACAGAAGAAATGATCAATTGTGGAATATGCCTACAGTGCACCTAATACAACAGCAAAAGTAAACAGCAACTATACATGTTAGCATGGATGAACCTCAGAGAATGTTGAATAATAAAAACAAGTCAGAAGATACCTATGATACAGTTCCATTTGCAGAACAGTTCAGAAACAAGATCAAACAATATGTATTTGCTAAAGGTATAGAAAAAGGCAAGGAAATGATAAACACATTTATCTATAGCAGCCGTGGGCAAACTACGGCCCGCGGGCCGGATCCGGCCCATTTGAAATGAATAAAACTAAAAAAAAAAAAGACCTTACCCTTTTATGTAATCATGTTTACTTTGAATTTATATTAGTTCACACAAACACTCCATCCATGCTTTTGTTCCGGCCCTCCGGTCCAGTTTAAGAATCCATTGTGGCCCTCGAGTCAAAAAGTTTGCCCACCCCTGATCTATAGGGTGGATATCTATAGGGTGAGAAGGAGGGGGGGATCATCTGAGAGATGCATACAAAGAGCTTGACGGGAGGGGATTGTTCTGTTAAGCAAAGGTCTATGGTAAGCTATTGTATCTTTTTTTATTTTAACATCTCTGAAATCAGCATGGTTTTAAAATGCTGTCAGCCAGGTGGCAGTCACAGCTTTAAAGATACCAACCAAGTTATTTCTCTTATGTTTTCCTTTGGGCAAGAGAGGTTAGATGACAAAATACCTAAGTCTGAAAGATATCTTTCAATAAATAAAAGAAAAATTCTAAGTAACACAAATACTCAGAATCCAGGAACATGGGAAAGAGTTAAATATCTTGTAGAAGAATCCAAAATGTGGTTTACTAATGAACTCTGAAAATTATGTGTGCATGGGAAAGGTAATTCTAAACATAAAAAATCATACATTAGAAATGAGATGACAAATGTCTACTTAAAAAAAATTACTGTCTTCTCAGTTTAAAAAAGTAAATAAGCCCTAGCTGATTTGGCTCAGTGGATAGAGCATTGGACTGGGAACTGGAAGGTCCCGGGTTCAATTCCAGTCAAGGACACATGCTTGGGTTGCGGGCTCGAACCCCAGTAGGGGGCGTGCAGGAGGCAGCCGATCAATGATACTCTCTCATCATTGAGGTTTCTATCTCTCTCTCCCTCTCGCTCCCTCTCTGAAAGCAATAAAAATATATTTTAAAAAATAAATAAAAATTAAAAAGTAAATAAATTTCACGAGCCTATAAACATCATTAGGTTGTATTAATAATAGATGATAAAAGTTGAACTTGAGAAAAATGATTCTGAGGATCATGTGTGTTTGTCATCTGGGAGTCATCTGCCCAGCCTTGCAATTCTTTGCTCATTCTTCTCTGTGACAGTAGTCTGCTAGGGCAGAAGTCGGGTTTCCAGTAAAACTTAGGGACTTCCGGAGACCGAGCAAGTGTGGCAGAGATGGAGGAGGTAAGACACCAGGTATTCTGGGAGGAGTGGCGGCTTAGGAATATCAGTGGAAGCCCTGCTCAATTGCTCTGATGGGCGGCTGGAACACCCCACCTTGTGAGTTCTGATATGCAGGGACTGATGCTGGGGATCAAGGTGTCCTTGGAGGAGACTCTTGAAGCAGTGAATACAGGTAGAAGCAGAGAAAGAGGCATGCTCTCCAAGACCTGAGAGGAGCTTAGGGGAAGCCTTCCGGGAATGTGAGAAGCTATGGGGTAGAGGAGAGGGAGAAAGGTGAACTCTCTTTAAAACCATCAAATTTACACAATACCAGAGGCTGATACATCCTAGTCATAAGTGGCTTAATCTCATGATTTGTAGACTATGGCTTTATCTCTTGTCCCTCTCTTAGTCTTGTTTTAGGCATTCCCACTGTCACACCCCCAAACATTGCTTTAACAAACCTAGTTTATCCACTGTGCATGGTGTTAGCTGAGCAGACCCACAGTTTACACAAAGGTCCAGTGAAGTAAAGTGGAGGTGGGGACTTTACCAGCACGTTCTCTGTATTTCCTTTTCTATCTCCACAGTTCATCAAGAAACAGATGCGTAAATACCTACATATTTCAAAGCAACAGTCCTCTTCCTCTGGGGGAGATACCAATTCGGGGATCAAGTCAATACACCCCATCAGATAACGGCCAATATTTTTGACAGGTGCTCGCTTCGGCAGCACATATACTAAAACTGGAACAATACAGAGAAGATCAGCACGGCCCCTGTGCAAGGATGACACGCAAATTCATGAAGCATTCCATACTTTTTAATAAAAACTATATTTGACAATAATATGCATCATCATGGTAGCAATTCTTCTGCAGCAAGTGTAATGAGGAGATGAATGGCTGACTACTAACCAGTGTCCCAAATTTAAACGCTAGCTTACACACCTACGTACAAAAGATGAGAAAGGGATCTTTTGCCAACAGCAAAATAAGATAATTCATGGAGTTGTGGTGATTGGGTGGAGTCTTTTGGACAGAAGAAAGATGTACTATGGTGGGAAGAAACAAGGTGTCTCAAAATATTGAAGGCGGTGTCAGGGCTGAAGGGCGAGAGTGATGAGAGAGGTGCCGGAGAATATCTGCAGGGGGCAGGTCAGACAAGGCTTTGAGGTCCATGTAAAGGATGGTGATGTCTGGCCTTAGAGTAATGAAAAGCCACTGAAATGCTGTAAATAGGGGCATGACTTGATCAAATCTGCACTTTGTAAAGGGTACTGTGGTCGCTGTGAAGAGAGATATTTGGGGAGGGGGTTGTTAATATGTGAGTTTATGTTACTTCCTATCTTTGCCACAGGATCCATAAAATGAGGAGATTGGAGGGGATGTTTTGAAAGACACCTTTCCATTTGAAATATCCATGTGGGTGGACATTCCTTCAATGAAGGACTTGTGGCCCAGGCTGCTAGGAGTGTGTTTGGACATTGCCTTGGCTTCAGACAACTCCCTCACCCAAGATAATGCCCAGAGCACGCAACAACAACTGATCGACATGGAGTGTGAAGGTCTGGCCATCTTAGCCCAACACAGACCAACGCTCAAGGGCCATCTGAGTTTGAGAGCTTCTGTTGGGCCTGCCTCACAGCTCGACTTCTTCTTCTGTGTACTCCTGCTTTCTTCCCTTCCCGTCCACAGGTGCTGGTCCTAAGGGCACTCTTTAATAAACATCCTTTTCATAAAGCTCTATCTCAAAATTGGTTTCTTTGTGGTGTTATTTATAATAGCCAAGAGATGAAAGCAACCCAAGTGCCTATCAATAGACAAGTGGATAAAAAAAAAAGCTGTGGTACATATATACAATGGAATATTACTTGGCCATGAAAAAGAATATTACCACTTGCAATGGCATGAATGGACCGAGAGGATATTATGCTAAGTGAAATAAGTCGGTCAGAGAAAGACAAATACCATATGATTTCACTTACATGTAGAATCTAAAGAACAAAATGAATGAATAAACAAAATTGAAACAAACTCATAGATACAGAAAACATACTGATGGTTGCCAGAGGGGAGTAGGTTAAAGGGGAACTGGGTGAAAAAGGTGAAGAGATTAAGAAGTACAAATTGGTAGTTACAAAATAGTCACAGGGCTGTAAAGTACAGCATGGGGAATATACTGTAATCAATATTTTAAGAACTCTGTACGGTGTCAGGTGGATACTTGAATTATTGGGGAAACATTTTGTAAAGTATGATTATCTAACCACTATGCTGCACAACTGAAACTAATTCAGAATAATATTTAAAAATAAAAAGAGCAAAAAGCAAAAAAAAAAAAATTGGGGTGGGGGGAACACTGTGTTAGTATAATGTGCTGTGGCCACCTCCTCTGACTCCATTAACCCTGCGAAAAGAGTTGGTGATAGACACGTTCATTCTCTCGTTCTCTCCCCCTCCCTTGAGTGTAGGTACTCCCACCCCTTCTTCTGGAGCACACCAGAGCCCTTACATCCTTGCTTTCTTTCTCCTAAGCTCCAAGGGCCCTTCTTTTGCCTCTAAAACTTGTTTCATGAGCCCACGCAGCTCAGCTGGCTCACTTCTTCCACAGCTCACTTCTTATACCACTGTATCTTTCTATTTTTTGTTTGTGTTTTTTTTATTCTTTCTTTTTTAAAAAATTTATTTTTCCTTTTTCTTTTGTTTTTTTTCTTTTTTGCCACTGTATCTTTCTAAATAAACTTTTGCTTCTATTTGAAAAAAAAAAAAAAGAGAGAGGGAGAGTTAGTGATAGCCAGGAAGGGTATAATATACTATATATGGTTTTAAATTTAAATATAAAGTACATTTCCTTACTGCAAAAGTGTGTCTACTTTGGAAAGTTTAGAACATGTAGATATGAAAAAAAGGAAACAAACATCCCATTGTTTGCCTTGATAATTCACCGATTACTCAAAAATGAACTGGTTCCAGCGGTTCTCAACCTGTGGGTCGCGACCCCTTTGGGGGTCGAACGGCCCTTTCACAGGGGTCGCCTAAGACCATCCTGCATATCAGATATTTACATTACGATTCCTAACAGTAGCAACATTACAGTTATGAAGTAGCAACGAAAATAATTTTATGGTTGGGTCACAACAGGAGGAACTGTATTTAAAGGGCCAGAAGGTTGAGAACCACTGGGTTAGACTTATGCCTCCAGAAAGATGGAGCAGATACATTTTCCCCTACGCCTCTCATTCATACAACTAAAGACCTAGGACATTATATGTAAAATAAACATGAGAAGACTCTGAAAGGCGGGGAGACACAGAGAGACCTGCCAGGGACCACAGGAAATGAGGTGGTGAATTCCCCGGGTTTTTCTTTTTTGTCTCATGCATCTCAGACTTGGAGCTGAAGAAGCTGGCAATCCTGAAAAAAAGTCCCAACAAAAACCTTCTCTCTCTAAAAGACCAGGAAAGGAACAGCCAGAAAAGGGCAGAAAGCTTTCACACAGTAACTGCTCTACTCCAGCCGAACGTCGCAGAAAAGACAGTGCTCCCCCACCCAAGCAACCAATAACGTGGGGAGATTTCTGTGATGATTCCAAAACAGGCATGATAATAGTATATTTACTTTTTCTTCGATGGAATTCCACATAGCGACGCAAATGGAGACTTCAACCACAGTAACAGCTGCAAGTAATTCAAAAGGGCTTACCTCCCTTTTTGTAGGACTCTAACTCCGTTTTAACTTCTGTAAGAAGAGATAACTGGTCCTCAGTGGGGGCTCACTGTCCTTCAGTGGGGCGTCACATGTGGGGCACAAATCTTTGATATAAAAGAAAATGTAAACTGAAGATAGTTCTCAAATGTTAGGGTTACTACCGTCCCCTGCTGCTAAGGAATGGCGTAGCAGGCACAAGACACGATGGCAGTGGTTCTCAACCTTGGCTGCACATTAGAATCACCTGGGAATCTTTTTAAAATCCTCATTGGCCCAGAAATCAGGATTTTAAAAAGATTCCCAGGTGATTCTAATGTGCAGCCAAGGTTGCGAACCACTGCTTAGAAGAAAACACAAGGGGAAATCTTCGTGACCATGTGTTAGGCAAAGATGTCTTGGCTAGGACACAAGAAGCATATGAACCGTACAAGAAAACACGGTTAAGAAAATGAAAAGATTAACCACAGATTTATTTTTTTATTTTTATTTTTGGTTAATCCTCACTTGATTTTTTCCATTGCTTAGAGAGTGAAAGGGAGGGAGGAGAGGGAGGAGGAAGAGGGAGGGAGGGAGAGAGAGAGAGAGAGAGAGAGAGAGAGAGAGAGAGAGAGAGAGAGAGAGAGAGAGAGAGAGAAACATCGATGTGAAAGACACATTGGTTGGTTGCCTCCCCCATGTGCCCCTACAGAGGCTGGGAATCAAATCTGCAACTGAGATACACGCCCTTGACCGGAAATCGAACTGGAAACATTTCTGTCTGCAGACCGACGCTCTAACCACTGAGCAAAAGCGGCCAGGGCACCACAGAATTTTTTTTAAAGGATAGATTTATTGGGGTATAATTTATATACGGTAAAATGAACGTCGGGTGTATGGTTCTATGAGTTTTGATGAATATGTACTTCCATATAACCACCACCACCACCAGAATTAACATATAGAATATTTTCATCACCCCAAATAAATTCTGCCCCCTCTGTGTTCCTTCTTCTCCCTTTAACCCTGGTCCCTAGTAACCAGTAATCTGATAGCTGTTCATGTGCAAAATTTTGTCTCTTTTAGGATGTCATATAAATAGAATCTGACAACATATAGACTTTCATATCTGGCTTCTTTTTTTCTCTTAGCATAAATCTTTTGAGGTCCATCGGTGTTGTTGCATGTATCAAGGGCTTGTCCCTGTTTACAGATGAGGCGTATTCCATTGTACGGGGGTACCATAATTCATTTATTCATTCACCAGTTGATGGACATTTGGGCTATTTTCAGTCCTATAAACATCCATATACACGTCTTTATATGGACATATGTTTTCAGTAACTGCATAGGAATGGAATTGCTGGGCCCTGTAATCGTTACATGTTTAACTACATAAGAAAGCGTCAGGCAGTTTTCTAAAGAGGCTGTATCATGTTTTATTTCTGCCAGCAAACTATGAGAGTTGGTGGCAGCGACCTATCAACATTTCAAATGCTCCATAAGAAGTTTTTGAAAATGAAATCAAAGAATCTTATTTTAATGAGGTAAATTTGAGAACTTTTTATCAGAATAACAATCTTTCCGTTTGAGTGCACCATGCTCTCATAAGCAGCCCACGAATTTAGAAGTTTGTGACACTTCTAATGAAAATAACCTTTAAAGAAATCTTTATGTCTGATTTCTTTTTTGTTAATTTGCTGCCTGGGAATAGAATAGATATCTCTGAATTTCTAAATAAAAATAAAAGTCAGTGGATGGTGAAGAAATGGAAATTAGGAATATATTATTCATTTCCAATTATGGTCACAAATATTTCCAGATTAAAAAAAAACACCATTTAAATAGTATATAAAATCCAATCTCATTTTTTAAAAATTTATTTTTGATGGTGGGGTTAGAGTCGACATAACTTTAAAAAAAGATCTGCTTATCCTTATTTTCTAACCTTTATGGAAGGCATGCAGATAGATGCCTTGTTTAATTTTAAGCGTTAAAAAACAAACACGAAAGGCAGCTACCAGCCGCTACTTTTAGGGGCAGAAAGTAGAGGTACTATCCCACTTTAACGCCCCCTGGCGACGAAGCCACCAAATTGCAGGAAGATGGGAGGGGGGGGCGGGAAGGTCGGGGAGAAAAGTTATGCGCAGGCGCACTAGCGAGCCAGCGGTGTGAGGCGGGACAAGTCTCGGATAAAGAACAGCTCTTTCAGCCAATAAAGAGACAGCATCATCGACTTCTTCCCGGAAGTTGAGTTTCGCCAGCCGTGGGAGAGGCCGTTACCAGAGTAAACGCAGTTCTGAGGTGAGTGGGCGGCGGTGGTTTGGGGCTCGGTTCCCCACGCTTTTCTCTTCCCGGGACCCCGCGGCTTCGTCGGGGCAGGCCGGGAGTGGAGTGGGGGGGCCCGGGGCGGGGCGCGCTCGCTCCCTCAGCGCGGCCCCCGGCGTGGCTTCCCGGCCGCGCGCGGAGCACGGCTGGACCGCCCGGCGGGCTGGGGGTGCCTCCGTCCGTGTGGGGAGACCGGGCCGGGCTGCAGGTTGGGGGACCGAACCGGGGTGGCCTTGGCCAGCCCTCTGGCGACTCCGGCCTCTGTAAAGTGAGAACAGCGTCCCCACCCGACCTCCCTGGCATGTGCTCTTGCCCAGAATTGAGCCCTTTAGTCTGCAAGCCAGTGCTCTAGCCATTGAGCTAAACCGAGCAGGGCTGTTAAGATGGTTTAAAGGGTTGATTGTAACTGTTTGCAGCTGTCCTAAGTTTGTAACTTAGTGGAACAGTACACAGTGTTTATAACCCTCCTCCCATGCGCTTTCATTCCCTTTTCCTTAATGGCTGTATTGTATTATATAGACTACCTTATACAGCCCTCATCTATAAAATCATGTATTAATTCCCACTTGTCCTGCTCTTTTCAAACAGGGCTGCATTAAACTTAGGCATTTTTTTTTTGGGGTGTACTTGTACCAATTTTATAGGATAAATTTCTATAAATAGAATTATTGGTCCAAAGAATATCAGTATTAAACTTTTTGATACTGCCAAGTTAAATTCCAAATATGTACTTGTTTCCTTTCCTATCAGCTGTGTATGAGAATTTCCCACATTATCTTGGGGGGGAGGGGGGGTGCTGGCCTACCACCTAAGAGTGTTACCCCAGACACTTCCCCGAAGGGCCAGGGTAGCTAAACATCTGCTTCTAAAAGTAGGATGACCGCCCTGCAGACACTGAAAAGGAGAGTGTGATGTCTGCTGGAATCCAAGGTCTGCCACATAGAAGGTGTTCTATTTGTTGAAAGTCTCCTTTTAAAAAAATTGGTTTAAAAAGTGTATTAGCCTGGGCTGGCTGGTGTTGCGCAGTGGTTGAGCATTGACCCATGAACCAAATATTCAGGAAGGCCTAACTCCCCGGCTGAATTCCCAGTCAGGGCGCATGCGGGGCCGGGGTAGCAGGGGCGTGCAGGAGGCAGCCAGTGGATGAGGTTTCCCTCATTGATGTTTCTCTCTCTCTGTTCCTCTCCCTTCCCCTCGCTCTATAAATTAGTAACATCTTAAAACAAAGTGTATTAGCCTGAATATTTTCCCTTTGTTTGTTTATATTGAAATTTTTTAAATTTGTCGACTTTATTAAAAGGAAGGGGGAGAGAAAGAGAAGTGTCGATTTGTGTGCCACTTACTTTTGCATTCATTGGTTGATTTTTGTATGTGCCCTGACTGGGGGATTGAGCCTGCAACCTTAGCATATCAGGATGACTCTAACCCCAACTGAGCTACCTGGTCAGGGCATCCCAACTTTATTTAACAATTGCATTTTCTTTTTCTTTGTCATCTTCTGCCTATATCCTTCTTTAATGTAGTTTTTTTTGTTGTTGTTTGTTTTTTTTTAAGAGATTCACTCAATGGACCTTTATAGAGGACCTACCACCTTTTAGGCATTGTTTGAGGTGCAGCTTGGTAGAATTGTGAACAAGACAGGCAATTACTGAAGTCATGGTGCTCCTGGGAAATGGAGTCAGAAAATAATGTTTTTGAAAAATAAAAATTTCTAGTTTTTGCCCTTTGTTAGCTTGCAAGCATTTATATCCTAGAAAAATGAGATTGCCTGTTATTTTGCTTATACTTTGCTAAATGGAATTTTTAGATTTATTTATTTTTATTAAATTTATTGGTGTGACATTGGTTCATAACATTATGTAAGTTTCAGGTGTACATCCTCATAATTTTACTCCATTGTGTGCCTTCCACCCAAAGTCTAGTCTCTATGTATTTGAACCTTTATCCTTGTTGTCCTTTCCCCACCCTCCTTTCTCTCTGGTAACCACCATTCTGTTGTGTTATATTTATTTTTGGTAGTCAGATCTGTTGGTCTTTTGTAGTAGCCTTAAAACATGTAGTTATTTCTCTGATAGATTGTAAGCAGCAGTTGGATGGAGGTAGTGGTTTTTATTTATCCTTGAAAGGTAGTATAGTGTAATGTTTTGAGATCTTTAGACTCTGGATCCATCCTCTACTACTTACTCTGTGACTTTACACAAATGGTTCAACCACTTATTTCATCTCTAAAATGGAAAGAGCACCTTTCTTTTCTCGGATTTCTCACAACCATGAGAAAAGTATTTAGAATAGTGTCTGGTATATAGTTTGCACACAGATATTATCTGTTATCATAATTATCATTCCTGGATACTCAGCGTCATATATTAACAAATATATGAAAGAATGAACACACATTAAGGATGTTGTACCTACTTCCAAGTTCTCTTTGATTTGGAGCCCTCTTGAAATGGATGAAGCTGCTCAACAAATATTTATGAAGCTTCTGTGTTCAAGGTTGTGGACACAGTGAGAACTACGATAGACAAAATTTTTCCCTTTATGGAGTTTATTGTCTGTTTGGGGAGACAAATCAGATACCGATACAGAGAATAAACGCTACTGACGCATTGATTCTCAGCAACATTCTCTCTGCCACTGTGGCTTGGTGGAAACTCAGGAATGTTCTATAGCTGCCCTTAGAACTTCACAAATTCCAGTATAAAACTGCCTCCAGTATATTATATCTTGAAAACCTGAAAGGTCAGTCTAAATGAGCACAATTTTCTTTATAGATGAAAATATACTGCAGCATATTTTTTTGTGCCGCTGAAAGTATTAAGTAGAGAAGGAAAGTACTTGGATAAATAGAAAAGGATCATAGCCTTTCCCTGTTGTAAATGTTAGTTTTAGAAACCAAGGAGATCATTTTGTTCTGGGCCCCCAACTGCCAGGGCGAAAAAAGGAAAATACTCTGTCTCTAGTTACCCAATGTGACAGGTTTGTTTTGTAGAGGTACTCTAAATCTTTGGTCTATTTCTATAGGTTCTTGATCTTCCACAATGGGTGAGCCACAGCAAGTGAGTGCCCTTCCGCCACCTCCGATGCAATACATCAAGGAGTATACGGATGAAAATATTCAGGAAGGACTAGCTCCCAAGCCTCCACCTCCAATAAAAGACAGTTATATGATGTTTGGCAACCAGTTCCAGTGTGATGATCTTATCATCCGCCCTTTAGAAAGTCAGGGCATCGAACGGCTTCATCCTATGCAATTTGATCACAAGAAAGAACTGAGAAAACTGAATATGTCTATCCTTATTAATTTCTTAGACCTCTTAGATATCTTGATAAGGAGCCCTGGGAGTATAAAACGAGAAGAGAAACTGGAAGATCTTAAGCTGCTTTTTGTACATGTTCATCATCTCATAAATGAATACCGACCTCACCAAGCAAGAGAGACCCTCAGGGTCATGATGGAGGTGCAGAAACGTCAACGCCTTGAAACAGCTGAGAGGTTTCAAAAGCATCTGGAAAGAGTCATTGAGATGATTCAAAATTGCTTGGCTTCTTTGCCTGATGATTTGCCTCATTCAGAAGCAGGGATAAGAGTAAAAACTGAACCAATGGATGCTGATGATAGCAACAATTGTACTGGACAGAATGAACAAGAAAGAGAAAATTCAGGTCATCGGAAAGACCAGATTATAGAGAAAGATGCTGCCTTGTGCGTTCTAATTGATGAAATGAATGAAAGACCATAAAGGGTTTTTTTGTTGTTTTTATTTTTTCCTTTCAGTAAATAGCATCATATATTAGTTCATTTGCTCTTGGAGAGTCTTAAAAGAGATATAACTAGGAGTTAGTAACAGCTTCACTCTCCAGCTTTATCAATTATGAGATGTCACAGGCAGTAATTTCATTTTATGGCAAACATAGGCAGCGAGTGTGACTGCATTAAGAGTAATCAACTTAAAAAGCAAAGTGCTGCTGTTGTGTGGAATATTCCTGTTTTTGGAGTTGCACTAAACATTGAAGATAATCCTCAGTAATAGCAAATTTCCGTCCTTGGAACGTAGACTTGTTATTTAATAGAAGCAGCAGCCCTGTAGGTTGCTTGGTGTTAAAAAAAAAAAGTGATAAATAAAGGATGTCAAGTAGTATAAATATGAAATTGTGAAATCTTTATATTTTACTTAAAAATTTGCCTACTCTCTAAAAAAGTATTGTAACATGTTAAAAGAGAAGAACCCCATAGAGTTATAAAATAGCAATTTTTCCTCTCGACTGCTCCTGGAAATACACTATGTCGAACAGTCTTGGCCCTATCCTTTTTTAGTCAATCAGATAATAAGTCCTTTGATCACTTTTAGTTGCAACCATTTTAGTAATTGAAATGTTTATGTAATTAATTGTACATTTCCTTTAAAATTCAGTTCATACTTGTTTAAAGCTGGAAACCTGATATGGGAAGGGAGTTTGGTGGCAGAGACTGTTAGATGTTCACTGGAGATTGTATCTCCCCTGAGATACGGTGCTGAGAGAAGGTTGCCCTGCCAGGGACTATATTTCCTCACTCCCCTTGCATGTGTGTAAGGCTATGTGATTTAAGTTCTTAGCAGTGGAATATGAGGGTAAAAATTCAGGCCTGCCCCATAAAAATTTTCTTGCACAATCCTCCATTCTGTTCTTATCTGTTGGGTGGATGGCCACACCCAGGATAACTTTGGGTCCTCCATTCCCTTCTGGTTGGATGGCCAGCATAATTTTACCATTTTGAAGATGATAAAGGTTCAGTTAGTTTGGGCCCTTGAATGACTGAGGACTAGGCCCTCCTTTCATTAACCCCTGACCCCAATCCAGCTGATTTGACTATCTGAGCAAGAAGTCACCTGTTTTGATCACAGATTTTATTTCTGTATTTCTCTTCTCTTCCCGCTAACCTCTCCTCCACCAAAGTCTTGGTGAAGAGTCTGCCTTGTATCTGAGGTTCTCTGCTGGCCTTTCTCTTAATGTGGGCCAGTGGTTCTCAAAGTAATCTCAGACTAGGAACATTAGCATTACTGGGGACCCTGTTAGAAATGCAAGTTCTCTTGCCTCACTCCAGACCTACTAAATCAAACTCCAGCAGTGGTATACAACAAGCTGTGATTTAATAAGCCCTCGGATGATTGTGGTGCAAATAATCAAGATTTAAGAATCACTAATAAAAAAAAAAAAAAGAATCACTGAGCCCTGGCTGGTTTGGCTCAGTGGATAGAGCGTCGGCCTGTGGACTCAAGGGTCCCAGGTTCGATTCCGGTCAAGGGCATGCACCTTGGTTGCGGGCACATCCCCAGTGGGGAGTGTGCAGGAGGCAGCTGATCGATGTTTCTCTTTCATCAATGTTTCTAACTCTATCCCTCTCCCTTCCTCTCTGTAAAAAATCAATAAAATATATTAAAAAAAAAAAAAGAATCACTGATAAAGGTAATGCCTTTTCCCAGATGTACACTTTTGGTAATTCTCTCAGTCCCCAGTTTCCAATATACCATTCTTCCTCTATTAAGGTCTTCAGCTCTAGAGCTGGCAAAAACCAGTTTAAAGTGACCACAGGTCAATTCTATACGTGAAACATTCATCCTCTTTAGAAATCTTTGGAGTGTAGGCTGTTCCCAAGTAGACCGGCCACTTTTTTTTTTCCTGACATGTATTTGGTGTGGATCGTTGGGCTCCAGAGGACACAGGCCAGTCTTAAGTTTACAATGAAGGTGAAGGAGTATTCCCTCATTCCCTTCTGGGGGAGCAAGCTAGACATTGCATAACACTTGAGCAGCTCTCAAAAGAAATCCTGTTATTTCCCCTCAACCCTTTTATAATCTTAAGGATGTTGGGCTAAGAAGGTACAAAGCCAATTTTTGGCTGTTTTGCAAATCCACGCAAGGAAAAGAAACCTAATTGAATCACATTGTTATAAGAGTTATGACATAATTTGTATATGAATTTGTGTGTTTGGGGAGAGGATTAAGGATTTAAATTCCATTAGCAATCTTAAATTCTGACTTTGAGAGGATCCAATTTTGTAGGTCTTTTTAAAAGAATTTTGATGTGAACTATTTCAGTGGTATAAAGTAGCACAAGATCTCATAGTTATAAGTTTAAAAACTTATATGGTCTTGGCCAGTGTGGCTCACTGTTAAAGTGTCAACCTACACATTGGTCTAGTGCAGCGGTTCTCAACCTGTGGGTCGCGACCCCTTTGGGGGTCGAACGACCCTTTCACAGGGGTCGCCTAAGACCATCGGAAAACACATATATAATTACATATTGTTTTTGTGATTAATCACTATGCTTTATGTTCAATTTGTAACAATGAAAATACATTCTGCATATCAGATATTTGCATTGTGATTCATAACAGTAGCAAAATTACAGTTATGAAGTAGCAACAAAAATAATTTTATGGTTGGTCACCACAACATGAGGAACTGTATTAAAGGGTCGCGGCATTAGGAAGGTTGAGAACCACTGGTTTAGTGTTTGACTCTTGGTCAAGGGGTTTGATCCCCACCCCTACTTGGGGGTGTGTGGGAGGCAACCAATAGATGGGTCTCTCTCACATTGATGTTTCTCTCTCCCCTTAGGTTTCAAGTTTCCCCTTGCTGACATCTTGGGCAGCAGACTAGATTTCAAGGTCCCCCTGTTATATTGTTGTGGCTTTTCCCAGAATTTATGAGAGCATCTGACAATTTTATCTTGGCAAGTCCCAAGTCTGCTGACTTCTTTGTTCAGTGGGTGAGATAAACTCCCCTTTTCCCTCCTCTCTTCCCCTCCTGCCCAAGCAGCTATCTATCCTGCTTAACAGTAGGTCCTGAAGTGACTGGAAATAGCAAGTGCAAGGGTCTCATGAGGAAATAAAAAGGTGGCATGAATTGGATTTGAAAGGTTACTATTGCCACAACATAGGGAGGAGGTGGAGCTAGAGAAGCAGATATGGAGCAGATTACAGGATTTAAAAGGCCAAGGGAAGGAGTTTGTTTTATCCTAAATCTGATGGAAAGTCAATAGCAAACATATATAGGCCTTTGTCGACACTGTTCTAATAACTACATAGTCGTTTTATCCTCACAACAACCCAATGAAATCATGATTTTTTATACCCATATTACAGATGAGGAATCAATTGCTCTGAGAGGTTATGTAATTTACCCAAGGTTACCAAGACAGTGGCAGAGCCAGGATTGAAAATTTCTACTTTCAAAGCCAAAGCAGTCCAGCTGGTGTGGCTCAATGGTTGAGCATCAACCCATGAACCAAGAGGTCATGGTACATGCCTGTATTTTGAGCTCAATCCCCAATAGAGGGCATGTAGGAGGCAGCCAATTGATGTTTCTGTCTCATCAATGTTTCTACCTATCCCTCTCCCTCGCTCTCTAAAATCAATAAAAACATTTTTTTTTAAAAAAAAAAAAGAGGAGAAAAAAAAGCCAAAGCACTTAACCTCCATACTTTACCACCTTTCTACTGCATCAGACAGTTAATAAGTAATAGGTAATAAATAGTGGAGCCAAGAGTAGAATCCAACATTTTTACCATATAAAGTCCATAGATACTACATGATTTTGGACTGAGGAAGAGATTTGTATGTGGGAATTGGACATGTTAAGGCATTTATGTTTAGACTTCTCTGTGTATTTTAAAGAAATACCTATGTATCATCTCCACTTTAAGAAACAGGGTCAGTTTTGTGGTTTTATGGCTACAAAGCACGTAGCATAATTTATGGTACTTAGTAAACTATCAAAAGTCAACAATTCTGCTAAGTCATTTGCCTTTTGTGTTTGGCATTTAGAATCAAAGATTGAAGAACTGGTTTCAAATTGCAATGTAATGAATCTAACAGTAAGTGGCACTCTTACCATAAGTTTTGTAGCTGTAGCCAGGTGGCAGAGGAGGGGCAAAGATGAGGAAATTCAGAGGTTCTGTTTATAATACTGAGCTTTTTATTCAACAAGTGAGACTTGCTGCCTGTGCCTGTTGGTGGCCTTTTCTAGTGGAGAGAACATGGTGTGAATTCTTCAAAATAATCAGTATTATGTTTTGAATAAGAGTCTTGATTAGAACCTTTCTCTCAGAGCTGCCTAGATAAGACAAGGTCTTATCTAGGCAGCTCTGGGAAAGACCTCAGCCATTATTGGTTAGTGAATAAGACAATAAGATGCTTCTCACATTTGCTTAATATATGACCAAATTCTGTGAAGCTGCTGGTTCCCTGTCCCCCACTCTAGGTTTGGAATAAGGGAAGGCATTCAAAAGATGAGAGTCTTGCAAGGAGGTATGGTTGGCCAGGAATGCATTGTATCAGCATTATAAGGAAAGATATCTTGTGGGTCTTTACTGATTTTTACATTCATTCAATAAATAAAGGAATCTGCTGTGAATAATATGCAACCATTTAAGAGCCATTACGAGTGAGAGTACTGGGGGAGGACGGGAGCTGGAAGAGGTTTATGGGGGGGAAAAGGAGGACCTATGTAATACTTTCAATAATAAAGATTTTTTAAAAAAAGAGAGCATACTGCTGAGGAAAGATATTCAAGATCTGATAAAAGTAAGTTGCTGGGTATATTTGTGGCTGTCTATGCAGAGTCAAATTTGGAAAATTATATAAAAACCATTTTATGGATGAGGATATTGAGACTCAAATGTAACTTTCTATACACAAAGGACACCAGCTAGTAAATGGCAGAATTAAAACTGAAGCTTAAAGGAAAATTTTAAAAAGAGAAAGAAAAAGAGCATGGTAGAATTTGGGCCCCATTATTTACTAACTGTGTAGTTTTGGTTGAATCTCAATTTCCTTAACTATAGTAATTATGGTACCCATCTCAAAGGGTAGGTACCATCTAATGTTGACAATGAAAGAGAAGATTCATTCTAATTCTTTTTGAAATTTGTCAGGTTTTAGGCTTGCTAATCATCTATGTAGAAGTATCTGATCTAGAAGAGGGAAGGTGGTGCCTGGAGGCTTAGGTGGTGGGTGAGCCTAGGACTTTATGAGTTACTGCTACCTACTAGGGAGAGCGATAAAGAAATAATGAGGGCCTGGCCATGTGGCTCAATGGTTGAGCACCTATGAATTAGGACAGTGGTTCTCAACCTTCCTAATGCCGCGACCCTTTAATACAGTTTCTCATGTTGTGGTGACCCCCAACCATAAACTTATTTTCGTTGCTACTTCATAACTGTAATTTTGCTACTGTTATGAATCATAATGCAAATATCTGATATGCAGGATGTATTTTCATTGTTACAAATTGAACATAATTAAAGCATAGTGATTAATCACAAAAACAATATGTAATTATATATGTGTTTTCCGATGGTCTTAGGCGACCCCTGTGAAAGGGTCGTTCGACCCCCAAAGGGGTCGCGACCCACAGGTTGAGAACCACTGAACTAGGTGATTACCATTCGATTCCTGGTCAGGGCACATGCCTGGTTGCAGGCTCAATCCCCAGTAGGGGGCATGCAGGAGACAGTCATCAGTGATTCTCATCATTGATGTTTCTATCTCCTCCCTTCCTCTCTGAAATCAATAAAAATATATAAAACAATAAATAAAAAAGGAAGGCACAAATAATGGCAGAAATAAAAAGTGACATTACTATAGATTATATAGACAGTAAGAAATAATACAAAAATATTGTGGAAAATTGGAAAACTTAGACAAAATGTACAAATTCTTATAAAATGACCAATATCGGTTTAAGAATAGGGAACTTGATTAGCTTTCTAATGATTAAAAAACAAAACCAACCAAACAAACAAAAAAAAAACACCAGTAGTTAAAATCTCACAAAGAAACTTTTAAGTATAGCTTTGCTGGCAAGTTCTATTAAAGATTGCCAGAAAGAAGAAACATTCTTAAGGTCTTTTTATGAGATTAGCATAGACATATATGCATGTTAATCTAGCAGTGTATAAAAATAAAAAGTAATGCTTTATGGCCAAACCATGTTTAAGAATGTAAAATAGAAAATTAATTAATATAGTCTGTCACTATAATAGATAAAAGGAGAAAAATTCACTTGATCATCTTAACAGAAGCACAAAAAGCATTTTATAAAATTTAGTATCCATTCATGAAAAAGAAAAAAGGGGGATCTGGCTGGCTGGGTAGCTCAGTTGGTTACAGTGTTGTTCTGATACCTTAAGGTCCAAGGCATATACAAGAAGCAAC